GCTCCTGCAGCAGCAGAATGAAGACATCCGGCGCCGGCTGTCCCAGACCACTCATAAGATGGAGGCCATGGAGACGGAGTTCGAAACCAGTCGACATTACATGCAGGCCGAGCTGGGTCGAACCAGGGACGACCTGGAGAAAATGAGAGACAAGTTCAGAAGGTTAGTCGCACGGCGTACTCGCACTCCCACTGGTTTGACCCACTGTTTGTTTTTTGAAAGAAATGAACACTTTTATTCAGTAAGAATGCATTCAGTTTGAATCGAAAGTCACAGTAAAGAGACTTATGTTGTTATTAAAAACTTTTGAACTTGTACTCATCAAAGAATCCTGATAAAGAACATACCTCAGTTTCCACAAACATTATAATGATAATCAGAAATGTTTCTTGAGCAGCAAATCATCATATTAGAATGATTTCTGAAGGATCATGTGCAATGATGCTGAAAATTCAGCTTTGCATTACATGAATACATTACTTTTTAAAATATATTCAAATAAAAAAAACTGTTATTTTACATTGTACTACATTTCACAATATTACTATTTTTACAGTATTTTTAATCAAATAAATGCAGCCTTGGTATGAACATAGGAAACTTATTTTGAATGGTAGTGAATTGCTGCTGATTAATCTCGTGACAGCCCTAGTATTTTTTTAATTATATATATATATATTAGTGCTGTCAAACGATTAAAATATTTAATCGCGATTAATCGCATTAATGTCATAGTTAACTATCACACATTTTTATCTATTCTAAATGTCTCTTGATTTCTTTTTGTCCCATTATTTTTTTCTCATTTTAATGCTCTTATCAACATGGAAAAGTGGATCGGCTTGCTTTGTGCAAATGTTTTTATTGAAAACAACATTGACAATACTGTGTTCAATTTCACACTAACATTCTCACTTGGAGCAAATAATCTCTCACACAATGTAACACTGTCCATCAATAAAAGGTTGAAAGAAATACTGACGAGGTCCTGATATTGACGAGGGGGCGGAGAATTCGCATCAGCTGTGTGTGTGTGTGTGTGTGTGTGTGTGTGTGTGCTTGGCCATCATCAAGTGGTATTTCAGACTGGACGTGCTGCGATGATGATAGCTCAGTTCACAACGACAAAACACACAGATCACTTTGGTCTTGTCAATGGAACCATTTGGCAACTTTTTAAAAATAAACTTTCTATTCAGAATCTTATTGGCATCCATTTCGGCGTCTCACGCTCGTCATCCACTCAAAACGTAACGTTAACCTATTATTTGGCCGGCTAGCAAGCCCAAACAAGTGTGTGCGGTGTGCCTGTTTTTGCCGGTCTAGCTAGATCCGCTTGCGCTTTCAAAACGTCCTCGCTCGGCGCAAGCCATTGAAAAGCCCCGTTCACACTACACGCGACCAAGCGACGCGATACCATTCATTTCAATGGTGAGCGGGCGACTTCCGGCGACACGCGTGACAGCGACCGTTGGCGACTAGATGGGGCGTGTCTAGTGACGCGACAAAGTTGAGAAATTTTTAACTTTATGCAAATGAAGAGCGATTTTCGCGAGCGACAACCAATAGGAGTGGAGCGCACGTGATCCTTCTCCTCAGCCCCTGGGCCTGCAGTGATGGATGGCAAGAAAGCTGATTCGCTGTCTTTTGGATGTCATACTAGTCACCAGTAGTGGGAACGCCCACTAGCAACCTCATCGCCAGCGGCTGGCGACTTGCAGCGACAAAGTCGCGTGTAGTGTGAACGGGGCTAAATGAATGAGTTTCATAGCGCAGCGCCGCGTCCTGTTGCAAAAGCATGTGAAAAAAACTACAAAGTTTGCTAGGCCAAAAAGACCGTTAATCGCGCGATAAAAAAATTAACGCCGTTAAAATGGGTTTGCGTTAACGCCGTTAATTACGCGTTTAACTGACAGCCCTAATATATATATAAATTTTTTTGTTTTTTTTTGATAACCTTCTTGGTAATGTACCCCTGGCTGGTCCATAGGGCCTGTATGAGGCACTGATAATGTGACCACTGCAGGAGTCACTGTCCACAGGTTTCTAAAATAAGCTCATTTGCCAGGTTTCCGCTGGTTTCTTTAAAAATAATGGTAGAAGCTACTTGCACACTGCAAATCTGAACTATCAGAAATCTAAGATTCAGGTTCAACATTTGTTGTTAGTTGCAACAAAATGATATTATATAGAAAAATGATAAATTAGACAAGGAAGTCCCACAAACGAAGTGTAAAGAGTAGCATGTATCTTTACAAGCTAACACTGGAACGCTAAAATGGAGAAAATGTTAATTATTTACCCGCAGGAATTTGAATTGGTCACTTTTATTTTATTTATGGTTATTTTATTCAGTTATTTTATAACTGAATCTTGTCTTAAATGTTCTGAATTCCTTTTTAATGATGAAATAAAATTTTAGTAATCAAAAAGCGTGTCTAATTAAAATCATGTCTAATTGAAAAACAATATTATTTTTTTATTATTTTTTGGGAACATATATATATACACTCACCTAAAGGATTATTAGGAACACCATACTAATACTGTGTTTGACCCCCTTTCGCCTTCAGAACTGCCTTAATTCTACGTGGCATTGATTCAACAAGGTGCTGAAAGCATTCTTTAGAAATGTTGGCCCATATTGATAGGATAGCATCTTGCAGTTGATGGAGATTTGTGGGATGCACATCCAGGGCACGAAGCTCCCGTTCCACCACATCCCAAAGATGCTCTATTGGGTCGAGATTTGGTGACTGTGGGGGCCATTTTAGTACAGTGAACTCATTGTCATGTTCAAGAAACCAATTTGAAATGATTCGAGCTTTGTGACATGGTGCATTATCCTGCTGGAAGTAGCCATCAGAGGATGGGTACATGGTGGCCATAAAGGGATGGACATGGTCAGAAACAATGCTCAGGTAGGCGGTGGCATTTAAACGATGCCCAATTGGCACTAAGGGGCCTAAAGTGTGCCAAGAAAACATCCCCCACACCATTACACCACCACCACCAGCCTGCACAGTGGTAACAAGGCATGATGGATCCATGTTCTCATTCTGTTTACGCCAAATTCTGACTCTACCATCTGAATGTCTCAACAGAAATCGAGACTCATCAGACCAGGCAACATTTTTCCAGTCTTCAACTGTCCAATTTTGGTGAGCTCTTGCAAATTGTAGCCTCTTTTTCCTATTTGTAGTGGAGATGAGTGGTACCCGGTGGGGTCTTCTGCTGTTGTAGCCCATCCGCCTCAAGATTGTGCGTGTTGTGGCTTCACAAATGCTTTGCTGCATACCTCGGTTGTAACGAGTGGTTATTTCAGTCAAAGTTGCTCTTCTATCAGCTTGAATCAGTCGGCCCATTCTCCTCTGACCTCTAGCATCAACAAGGCATTTTCGCTCACAGGACTGCCGCATTCTGGATGTTTTTCCCTTTTCACACCTTTCTTTGTAAACCCTAGAAATGGTTGTGCATGAAAAACCCAGTAACTGAGCAGATTGTGAAATACTCAGACCGGCCCGTCTGGCACCAACAACCATGCCACGCTCAAAATTGCTTAAATCACCTTTCTTTCCCATTCTGACATTCAGTTTGGAGTTCAGGAGATTGTCTTGACCAGGACCACACCCCTAAATGCATTGAAGCAACTGCCATGTGATTGGTTGATTAGATAATTGCATTAATGAGAAATTTAACAGGTGTTCCTAATAATCCTTTAGGTGAGTGTATATATATATATATATATATATATGGTATTTTAAATTGTTAATATTTGAACTCTTTCTCTGCCATTGACGGAAATTTCCAGCTTCCCGTGTTTTCACTGTTATACGGTAGGGGGCGCTATGACATCTTCTGAAAGAGAACTGAATCCCCAGATCAAAACACAGGTGAAGAAGAAGAAACAAGCGATCTCATATGTAAGCAGATGCATATGTAAAATAACGTGATTATCATCAACATTAAACAGCATATAAATCAAACCTGCCTAATGTTACTGAATGAAATGTCGACCCAGGACGGGCTTTAGGACTGTGGCTGTGTGGGGGTGATGATGGACTCGATCTACTCCATCTGTGTTTTGAATCCGATCTGATGTAGTCTTTAACAACAATGTGATTTTCTCAGCTTTTTGCTCAAAATGTTGCTTGTTTTATGAAACTTATACCCACATTCAAGTATTGATAAAAAAGAAAAGAATGCATGAAGCTAGGATAAAACATTTTTGTTCCGTTCTTTCTTTTGATATATTAATACAGATTTTATTGTTTTTATTATTGGTATTGTTAATTATTATATTACTTCAAGGTGTGCATTCTGCTTTATAATGTATATTTGCCACAATCACAAGTTATTTCGATGATTTCGTCATGTCACGATTCGATTAAAGGGCCTTTCACACCGGACGCGTAACGGAAAAGCGAAACGGAAAAGCGAATAGTTCGCGTCAAAATCATTCACATCAGCCGCGACGCGAATTTGCGACGTTCAGAGCTTCAACATTCCAAAACTTTCGCGCCGACAGCTGAGAAAACACGGACACTTCATCATCATCATCATCATCATCATCATCATCCAGTAAAGACGAGCTTTTCGTTTACTTTAAAAGACAGAAAAGAAGGTTTTGTGTGCACCCAATCTTAAAGAACAGAGAGTCTGAAGGCGAGTATGCTAATCTTGTAAAGTAGCTAAAACTTTGCCACAAAGAACCGTCCAAAGTAAGGATTATGCATTAAACATTTGAATTGTTTATTAATAAACTAGTGTTTATGTCAGTTTTCGGTATGAGACGCGCTCCAGTTCACGCGCCGGCGCCTCCGTGTCCTAATTATATTGTCTACTATATTTGTTTCTTATTCCTATTAATCCAGGCAATTTGTTGATGAAACATTGATTAAAATTAAGATACAATTTATACAAAACGAAATTCACTTTAAAGAAAGCTGCAGTCCGTATCTTTTCCTCTTTGTCGCCATCTCTCTGTTCGAAATCTGTAACTGCAGTGATTCGCGGAATTATTATCTTTACGTGGGTTGTAAATCGGCATGAAACAGCGCGGATGAACACAGTGCTTTGAGGCGAGTGCTGCTGTCAGTCACCGCGCTGTGTGGATAGCCTACTGTCATACAGAATCACAGATTCACTTTTTGAAAGTTTGA